CTGATTTTTGCAAAGCCAGTTGTGCCTAAAGTGGTATTTCTGAGACTGTTGTTACATTTATTCCCATACAAAAGCCAGAACTAGATAAGATATAATGCATTTAACCAAGTGATCTGTTTTCAGGAGGGATCAGGACCTCATATTTCAGAGAATGAGAAACCTCACTGAGAGATGATAGCCCTTCTGCAAAGGAACTCTTTTATGGCTGATTGAATTGTTCAAACCTCATCCTATGATGATGTTTCAGACATTTCATTACACTATTTTTAATTCTTTTTATCCATTTTGTAATGTATGGATAAGGTTTTATTTGCCTGTAATAATCTGTTCCCTTTTTAAAATATTAGATATATTAGCTGCAAATTTTTACTCTGATGTTCCTTCTATTACAAGATTTTTGTTAGTTGTCAGTTATTTCCTATTTGCATTCCCAGATCTCACTGTATCTGAGAAATATAAAGGTTTCTAATCAGAAAATGCCTGATTAGACATGTCATTGAATTAAATTGATTCAGAAAGCTTGTAAGAGTCTCAAAGTATGGAAATGCATAAATACGATTTTGCTCAGATAGGGTTTTCCATCCCTACACTGTATTGCTGCCCAAGCTGGGCTTCCAACTTTATTATTTATATATTAGAAAAAACACCTTAATCTAAGTTGCAAAGGTTTTCAGAATAGCAATGGTTTCCCAATAAAACCATTTGCACCTGAGAAAAAAAAAAAAAAAAAAAAAAAAAAAAAAAAAGAGGTGTTACATTCTTGCACTGTATAAATGTGGAAAAACAAGGATGTATCTTGCTGCTTTCCTTCACACAAACATAAAATCAGAGTCCTTTCTGAGAGGAGTCTGGTCTCACATAGCCATGAAAGACATCAAATCCTATTACAAGATAGCATGAGGCAGTTAAAAAATATGTTCTGTAACTATCCACAGACTTATTCAATGGACTTTGCAGATGATGGATGCACACTGGTCCTTGACTGAATGGCAAACAGACAGCATGCGCATCCAGATCCTTATGGGAACAGGAGAAAAACTCTGTCTCTTATCTCATCCCAGTCCTAATGCAACTACTAACATCTGCATAATGATGTGCACATGAGGAGGGTACTGGGTACAGGTAGGAGGTAGGCATGAAAGAGTCAGGGTGTCATGCAACAGTATGTGTTGGGGATAATAAACAGTGATGAAGGGTATGGTGAGGGAGCCAGAAGAATTGACAGCATGGATAATAAAAAAAGGAAGGTGAATAAAGGAAAGACAGAAAAGAGAGCCTGAAAACATATCAAAGAGAGAAAAGGGAAACAGTTGGGTAGAAAAAGAAGTGTAGAAAAAAAAAAAAAAAAAACATAGAAATGTATGTTCATGAGAGAGTACAGAAGAAGAGGAAGAAAAACCAATATGTGCCAACTACAGAAAGAAGGAATAAGGGGAAAAAAAGGAAAGTCAAAATAAATACGAAATTAAAATTACAACAATAGAAAATATAGTGAACCAAACAGGGAGAAAATGAAACACTGGCTGAGATCAAACAGGGAAGAGAAAGACACACAAATGCACACACACCCCAAAATTTTCACAAGGCTACAATGCCTGGTACTGTGAATGCAAACCAGGCTTCCTGCATCATGTCTGACAACCTAAACCATTCTCCAGAGTGACAGCTGAGTTTCATTTCAAAGCAGCACAGAACAAATCCCTGGGATTTCTTTCTTTTTTAAATGAGAAAATTAATTACATCCCATAAATGTCTACAATATAACGAGATGTAAATTTGGTGCCTCCAGGCTGGAATAGAAGCTAAGAACAGAATTTGGTCCTAATTCAGATAACAGCAGTGTCTGAAAAATAGATGTTGCTTCATCGGAAATTTTGACTAAGTTATTTTTTATTTCAAATGCAAAAAAAAAAAGATAAAACCAGAACATTTTTAACTTGAACTTTTGAAATGGAATAAGAACAGCATTTTCTAAAAAAAGGAAATTGCTGATGCTGTAAATTCCCCTGCAGATATCAGCACATAAAGTTTTGTAATCGAAATTCTTTCAGTTGGAAAATTTGGTTACTGTTAAAGTTTTTCATGTGATAAATGTCAATTTTAACAATTGAAGACATTCCAACCCTCTAAAATTTGATCAGTTCTACCGCTATGTGTGCTACTTCATATTCATCACACGACAAAAGTGAAGCAACACAAGCAACACAACAAAGGAAAAGCATGTCCTTTCAAAAGCCTCAGAAATAGTTTATGTTCATGCAAGCCTGTCTCCCTCCTGTTGTTCTAGGTTTCTTCTCAGAGCTACTCTGTGAAGCTACTCAGAGGATCATGCAGTTATTTTTGCTCATGGTGTTCATCCCCATCTGGTCCAACATAGCTTCTCAAGCATCTCAAACACGTTTAAGTAAATCACAGAAGACACATTTTTTTGCCCACATTTCTGATTGCTGGACACATCTTTCCTTCAGGCAGGAACTCAGTGGGTAATCCCTAAATGCTCCAGAATCCAAGCTGATGCTCTGGACGCTTTTTGGAAAAGCAGAGGCTAAGCACTGTGTATTTCCTTTAGTAGGAACAGAAATCCCCAGGTGTTCTGCAATATAATTTAGTTCATATATTAACATCAAACATTATAGTTTCTGAAAACCTTTTGGCCTTTGCTATATTTGTCTGTACAACAGACGAGCAACATTCAAACTGGATTTAGTTACTTATATTGATGTCACAAAATTTAGGTAAGGTTATCTACACACATTTCAAATCAAATGGGGAAATTAAGTTTCAGTTAAATGTTCAAAGGATTACAAGCAAAATGGCCTATGCATGTAAGATTGCCCAAAGTAACCCCATCTTCCATGGTACAAGTTTTGTCATTATATGTGTGCTTAACAAGTAACTAATTATCTTTGTTTCACCTGGCTGAGTTCTTGCACATTTCTGCTGGCTTGCAAAGCAAAGAGTCTTGGCCACAAATGGCTGGTTTCACATTAAAAACTTGCTTCCTGATGACATCTCACTATTACCGCCATACTGCAACAGCACCTATCTTAGTAAGGAACATTAAAAGGGTGTTACAAATGTGCGGTTTAGTTACCTCTTTTATTGCATAATGATGCAAATATTAAGTTCTTAATTGCTACTTCTTTGAAGGCACTTAGAATTTTTTGCTTGACAGTATCAGGGAAGAGAATGGAAAAACACATTTCTGTATTTTTTCTTGCAAAAAGAGACATCTTAGATGCAGAAGGTTTTCTTTGATTTATAAAGTTATTCAGTTTGAAGCAAAAAGGTGTTAACAGCCCTTTTTCACCCTGGTGGGTTTTAATTTAAATGCTGAAAGTCTACATTAGTGCTATCAGTTTACTGCAGTAGCATTATAAACTCCTTAGCATTGCATTTGCATAATGATTTTATATGGTTATGTAAGTCTTCTGTAAAAAGCTGATTTTTGATCAAATTTTGTTCTCCAGATCTAATCATCTCCATGTGAATCTGGAATTGCTGCATTATGACTTAAGTAAAACTCCTTTAGACTTCTGTCTCTGCAAAAAAATTACCTTGAATCAGGAAACCATACAAACCCATGGTCACTTTTAAGTGTCTGAATAACTTCACTCACTGTAATAGATTACCTACATACTTAAAGCAAATAATTACGTGCTTTTTGTCCCCTCAGAGTCTTGCCATGTGTCAAATATCACTCAGGAAAAAAAAAAAAAAGAAAAAGCAACTTCACAATCTGTTAGTGCCTTAAATGAGTAATAGAAAAAAAAATTCTTTTTAGATTTTTGATGTTTACAAAATTTTCCATTGTGTGGGTTGTGAGGAGTGGTTCCAACTCCAAAGCAGCAATTCACATGGTCCCATGTTTTTTACCAATGTTTCAAGTCCTGTAAAATCAGCTTGTGTTACCCTGGTATCATCTTTCTCACCTAAACTATCATGTTTGGGAGGCCTACTGAGAAAAAAAAAAAAAAAAATAAAAGGACTTCCCAAAAGAGCTATTTTTTCCAAGCCAGGACTGGTCCTGATGAGATCCTGAGGGAACACAAAAACTATCTTTATAAAAATAAACTTGTTAATCACACAGAGAAATGCAAAGGGGCTGCGGTGGGTTTTTTTGCATTAAGGGCCTTTCCCATGTCCATCATCTTTTTTCATACAAACACTCCTGAGGCTGTTAAATGACATTTGATCACTCAGCTTCCAAAAATCCATGGATGCTTTGTCATTTATTCCAGTCTGAAACTTTTGGTGCAAACATGAGCCGTCTTGTCAGCGTCTAAATAACTTAACAATTGCCTATTTCTATCTATCCCCTTACAGAGAACTTAACCAATTAGGCATAAAAAAAAACTCATGGCACACATGACATGCACATGGCTGTAAAATAGCCAACAAAAAGTATTACTATACCATTGAAATATATACTTAAACACTTGAATTATAAAGGGACATTTGATATGTTTTGAATAATTGCGTCCACATTCTGGTAAACTCATCTGGTTTTTGTACATGCAGTTATCAAGCTTATGACAAGAGCTTTTCCTCCTCTATGTTCTTACTTTTAGTTACTCCACAAAACTATCTCATTGGAGTGGAGTTAATCAGTGAAAAACTCCACTATTCTCCTGCTTAGGAAATGACTGAGGAGCTGCTTGTGCACATGCCCAGCATTTATAATGATCTTTCTAGGGACTGAAACAGCCAGATACAGAAACTTGTGGTAATGAGCCCTAAACAAGTACGAAAGAGCACAGTAGCTTTTTTTCTATCTGCAGATCTTTTCAGTTGTTCCCCTGTTATGTACCTTTTTCTACCTGAGTGACAGAAAAAACTTGGCTGCCATCAGCTGAAAATGTCTCTGCCTGAAGAGTGCTGGATCAGGACTGTCCCTACGGTTTTCAAATGGGGAGAAAAAGGAGGGGCTGAGGGACAACATTCCATCAGACTTTTTCAGAGCAACAGTGAAAAAGAGAAGGGAAAAAAAAAAAAAAAACACAAGAGCACTGAGAAACAGCAGAAATAAAAGTAGAAATTAGTAGAGTGTCTATCCTCATTATAATTTTGTCAGCTAAAATTTAGTAAATGCTTCTGGTTTGCTTTCGGGAGGAGGTGATATTTAAAAGCAGGCTGCTCAGCAGTCAAACGGGAGTACAAACAACTCCAAAAGCTTTGCCTATGTTCTGTGCAGATCAGCAGAACAAGGGAGACCAGCTGCATTGATTTTCGTTAGGGCCTGATGACTAGGACAACAGCTTACTGTTTCGGTAGGACCAAAACATTTAACCTCTTCTATAGGGCATTTAACTTCCACTGTGTTGCTTGGACTTAAAAGATCGTGCTTTACTGCTACATGGAACTGGAGATATTTGTCTTCCTTTACGCTCAAATCAGTCCTGCAAATCTATCTCAATGGTGTGGGAAGCAGTAAAGCTTTAAAACTCTCTTAACTTTGATATTTTACCTTTTTGCTCTTCTGCATTTATTTGCTCCGGTTTTCTGTTCAAATACTTCTTTTTTAGTATTGCCCGTGATTTAGATTGTTTCAATTCTGTTTGATATATCTGGCTCTTCAATTTTTTGTTGCAAACTTTGCTTTTTAGTTTCCTCTACTTCTATTTAAGTTTTTTTCTGAAGTTATTTTAAATGTTGTAGTATCTCTATACAGTGTTTTAATGTGTGATTTTAATGTTAACAAAGTACATTTCCTAAACTGTATTTTTACACTGCTTCAATTGGTTAGTTAAATCATTTTTTTTTCCCAGTCCAAGTGAGGTAAATAAAATTACTATATAATACTGAAATAAAATCTTTATTTTCCTGAAGCTTTTATAACTCCTGAAAGATTTTAAGGGTTTATAGTTGATTTGTTTTGGGAGTGGTAATATTTCTCGTCAAACTTTGAACTGTAATTCTTTTTCTAATATGCTCTGTAAGTTCTCTCTATAGCACGGCACAAAAAAAAGAAATTTTACGCTACACATATCCAAGTGTCTAATCCTCCTTTAATATTCATGGAATCATAGAATTTTGTGCAAGATTAGCAAGTAACAGTTGCTTTATGTAACAAGACATGAAATGTAGAGATAATTTATTATTACCATTTGCAATACCAGCATTTTTCTTCCAACCTAAATTTCTTCAGCACTTCTATCAATTTTCTAGTAACTACAGTCACTAGAAAATGAGCAATAAAGTTGTTCATTTTATTACGTTTGTTATTTTCCTAAATGGCTGCATTTCTTACTGTTTTCCATATTTTTGTCTACTTTTTTCCTGCTTTATATCTCCTTGTATATTATACAGCTCTCTTTTTCTTTTGAGTTGCAGCCATATGATGAAAGAAAAGGTTAGACCATTGTGTTCAAAAGTGCCTTTGTTGCTTTGCTGGAGTTTTCAAAGTTTGTGAGCCATCTTCTTAGTATCAGAAACACTTCTGACTAAGACAGGAAGGGTTCTTTAGAGGCATTATTTGACTGTAGAGTCTGCCTCGCCCTCCCCCCCCCCCCCCCCAAGTTACGTGCATTTTATTTGGATAATTTGAAGTCTCTCCAGTCTATATTTTAGGTAGTTTTAGTCACCGTCTCTCTCAAAAAGGTCTTTTCAGGCTATTAGGTGGGGGGGGGGGGGGGGGGGGATTTTTGTGGTTTGTTTTTGGTAGTTGTTTGGGGCATTTTTTGTTGGTTGGTTTTGTTGTTTTTTTTTAAAAGAACATTTGTCTCATTTGGCTTTCCAAATACTGAAATGGCATTGTCCTATGCATCTCTCACTTCACAGAAAAATTCTTTTTTCTGTGTTGAAGCAGGCTCAGAAAGCTTTCAAAAGCATTCTAGCCCAAATGCAAAAATACACAAATGATCACAGATAGGGAAAATAACTAGGGAAAAGTATTATTTTTCTTGTACATGGAAAAAAACAATTCACTGAAAACTGAAGAATTTTGCCAGTATAGGTTTTTATCTTTAGTGTTCCTTTTAATCTGTTACACACAAACAAGCTTGTAAATAGAGCTACACCCATGAATTAGCCCACCGGATTTTGCAGAGTAAAGACCTACTAAAACCCTTGATTAGATAGTTAACACCTTGCTAATTAATTGTGCATGCTCCTGTGGTATACATATTTGCACAGAAGAAATACTGCATAACTTTTTTATTTTTTAAGTTTTAACAACATTTCTTAAAAACAGCGAATTTAATGGAAAAACCCACTGACTTCTTGAATAACATTTGTTTATGAAATTTATTTTTCAAACCATACTATTTATCTTCAATCTTCTTTGACTCAGGTGATTAAAATTTTATTTAATTTGAAATATGTATATTGAACTTGAGTTATAAGGAAGTAGAAGGCAGCAGTGACCAGTGCTCTACTCGTGAAACACTCACTACACCTTTTCCATTTGTTTCTCTCTGCATTTGTAACTGCTTATGCCATGAAAAAAATCCGAGATGCAGTGTACAAATACTTAGGAAGACATTACATTAATGTCAGTGTTTAATTTCGCATTTGAAATCCATTCAACGTGATAATTTTAACTGTTTAACAAAGTATTAAGTATGTTTTCATCCTGTCAATAGAAGTATTTCAGTTAAAAACGTGTAAACCGAGTGTACGCATACAAGCCTATTTCTTCTCTTCCTGCAGAGCACACTTTTTAGTGGATTTTGCCATGTACTTTTCAAAGGTGTCTATAACTAAGGTATTTCCTGTACCAGTGTAAAGCAACCCTGAAATAAGGAGCTCTTCTCAGAGCAGCTGCAGGTCCAGTATCCAGCTGCTGATGGCAGCAGGTATGTTCTTTTAGGGCAACGCTCTGGGAAGGCTGCAGCTGGTAACGGTGCCCATGCTTCTTGAAGGTGGCAATATGTTTGCTTAAAAGGAAAACTACAAAGGTGACTGATGCCACTGTGGGGAACCATCCGCAATGACCCACAATGAATCATCAGTTGTAACATATGATAAAATCAAATAAAGCTCTGTGCCAAGAAGATCTCGTTCACTCCTGTGGTCAATTAAAAACATGAGTTAGAAAGAATCCATACAGACACCTTTCTGAGCCCAAACCATGCAGAATCTACAAAGACGTATTTCCTATCCTATTTTTTACACAAAGTGGCAGACAAGCAACTTCAGGCAGATCATCTGAAAGCAATACACTTTGCATTTCAAGGGAAACAGTGCATGAAAAAAATCAGCACGTTGCAGTTACTACATATTTTTTATATATCCCTAAATAATATCTATGTATATATCTCTATACATAGTATTTAGGGATTCACCCTGAGCTTTGTATCATTCGCATGTTGAATTTCAAAGCTTGTTGTTTCAGAGTATGCTTTTTTGGATTTTGGAATGGGCTGATTCAGTAGGTCTGAGTCAAAGCCTGACATTCTGGAGATAAATATGATTTATTTTACTAGAGCTAAAGAGGTTTTACAGGTCTCAGGATTTAAAAAAAACGAAACAAAACAAAACACTACAAAAAAAAAAAAACAAGCAAAGCAAAACAAAACGACACAAACAAAAACAAAACAAAGCAAAAAAACAACATACTTTGAAATAAATAAGCGGAGAGGTAGGTCAAGTTGATAGGAAAACAGTAGTGCCATAACTGTAAAAGCAACATTTCTGTCTCCCAGATTATGTGTGAGAAGGGTGTCCCCAGCATGCCCTAGCTGAAGTGAATATCCACACTCTTAGCACAGATTCAGATACTTGTAAGATCATAAATAAAACTAAAGGTCCAATCACTAGTTAGCACATAACACAAACAAAATGTAATTTTCAGCAATTTTGCTTAGAGTTTGTATTTCTTGATTAAAAAAAAAAATGGATATGTATATATACTAAGTTTCTGTAGTAGAAAACCCATATCAGCCTTTGGATAGGTGTTCTAATACATAATTGTTAGTGTGCCAGAGTAGTCCAGATCTTGGAAATGTTTTAGACCTGGCTTCTACTTCTGGTGACTTAATTTCATTATGCTTTTGGTATCTTGCTTGAAAACCCTTCTGTCACTCCATCCCCCCTCCAACCCTGCCAAGTATGTTCAGGAACTGAGACATTCTACGGTTTCTCTTTGGTATTAAAGACATTGAGCTTTGAGAGCTCTTTTTAGACATACTTTTCCATTCCTTTGATCATTTTTACAGTTTATTCAAACTCTTTCCGCTCAATTAGTGTTGTTCTTGGAGTGCCTTCCAAAAATAGCCATACCAATCTCAAATAAATACTCTGTCTCCTATTGAAGTTGGTCCTGTTTTCTCATTCAAGAGCTACATTAACACTTATCACAACAGTGTTACACTGAGAGCTCATTTTCATCACAACCCTTTTGAGTCACTGCTTTCCAGAACAGTATTTCCCAACCTCAATGTGCAATATTCATTTTTTTTCTTAGATGTTTGTCCATAATTTTTTCATTCTTAGAATGTGTGTTGTTTTCCTATGGGTAGTTTATCAACCGACACATATCTTCCAAACATAAGTCTTCATCCTTATTTCCCACTTATGGTCCACACATGGATTTCCTTTCTTCCATGGAGAAAGCTGTGCCTCACAGCACTTTGTAGAGATAGTCCAGATCTCTCGTTGATCTTGTGTAGATACCCAAGACTGCTCTGATGTCTTTCTTCCATATGGTACACAACATCTGAGTCACTGATGCCAGGTTTTTCCACACATATACAAGAACAATGCAATTGGTCTTACTCTTCTTTTCTATTTCCTCATTTATAAAAGGGCATGTAAGTGCAACAAATTGATTTGCATTATGTAACTGCATACTTTATTGGCTCCAACTGTTATTTGTCCATACCACAATCAGGAGAACACAGCCTAGCCTGGGTGTGGAAGGAATGTCCAGAAACATCCATTTCTCCCCATAGACATCAACAACCATGCCAGAAGTTCTCCCTCCCATTCAACGCTTTCTTGGCTGTGGCAGGCCAACACATCACCAATATGCAAGTGGTACCTTCAACAGAAATTATGCTTATTACCAGACAAACATTAGCACGAGTCAGAACCCTCTAGTTTAGGATGTCAGGGATATAGGCAAGCAGAACAGTAGGATATTAGAAGTTTTTAAATCTAGCCCTTTAGTCATAGCCCCTTCAAGTTTCCCTTTTGCAGGTCTTTCTGCCATCAGCTGAGGAGGAATTCCTTCCTTCTCCTTGGCATCCAAGGGCAGGAGGGAGCCCGCTGAGGAGGCACCTCCCAGCTCTTCCCCAGCAGCCTGAACCCAAGTTACAGCTGCGCAGTGTCAGAGCCAAGCCTGAGCACAGGCAGACAAACCACCAGCAGTGGGGAAGAGGCTGCAGACCCTTCTGGTGTACTCCAGCCCCAACAGTGTCTCAGATATAACATCCTGGACTGATCACCAAGTCTGATCACCACAGCTGTACCCCATCCTTTATGCATGTACTACACAGTAGGAACCTCTACCAACACTACATCTCCTATTACTCACTTTGCTTTCCTTCCACTGCAAATAGGTATCATATGGCACTCAGCACTCTTCCAGTTCCGTTACCTTCACTGTGAAAACTCTCCTCTGACTTTCAAGCAAGTCACTTAAAATTAATCAGCAGGAAAAGCCAGAGCGTGATTTTATTTTGGTTTTACCATCAGATATAAATCGACTATTGTTCCTATTTATCACATTGTCATCATCATCAGAAGGATTATTGCTGCCCAAAGGGTTTCTGAAGCTAATCCACCATCAGCCTCCACCAGTCACAGATCAAATATCTCATAACTCATTTCCTATTAAAAAAAAATAGCTTCACCTCTTAGATGTCTTGACTGTAACATAAAATCCAGTTTCTTCCTGAATGTACAAATTGAACACAACCTAAGACAATAAAGGCTTTATAGTGAATACAAACAGGAAATCTCATGTATCCATGTCTATAAAAGCCCCTATCTAGTCATGCATAGGATGAGAGTAGAAGGACATGTCAAAAAAGTAATGTTTCTTAATCAAAACAATATGTAAGCTCTTACAAGATAATACAGGAATAAATATTTCATATAATTGTTTCTCTGGAAAGTGAACATGGAGCAACAATAGTTTCACAGCTTATTCTTTCCTACAGTCTTCAAAGATAGACACTTCGCTGGTTTCCCATTTTCTGAGAACATGCCTACCCTCCTAGAGGCAGCTCCATAGAGCTGGAACTAATTATAATTTATATTTCTCCCAAATGAGATAGGAGCGACTCAAGCATGCAGAAAATGAGGGACAGCCCAGAACACTTGAATGCCTCATAAAGTGCCCTAAGTCCCAGTACAAAGGCAGGAGTACATTTTCAAGCAATCAAAGAGTCCTGTCCCTGAGCTTCAAACAACGTCAGGACCAGAAGAACACTGTTTAAAGCAATTTTAAAAGGATAAAATATTATAAGCGCTTGATGTTAGTAAAAATAAATCAGAAGATTTGAATTATTTAAAAACTCTGTATCATTTTGCAGATTAAATTCCAAGTAGGTCCTGTAGAGTGCACTGGAGATAAGGCCCCCTAATAATGCTATGCATCTATTACATGATAGCATATGACTTGAACTTAAACCAAAAATAACAATACAGAAAAGACAAACTTTTTTTAAAAAAATATTCCATTCACTATTGGAGTAATAACAGACATTGAAAACACTTTACCTTCCACCAGTCAATCAGAAGACAAGTAATGAATTTGTTTTAAATCAACTGGTCTAAATAACTTGTCACAAAGCATTTAACATGCTGACTGATTATTAGCAGGGAGTTTATCATAACTGAGATGTACATCTAGCACTGAGAGAGGGGATCACTCCTCCCCCTGTAGTCCTTAAAGCAGGAATACAGGATTCCTTCTCTAATCAGTGGACTGACCGATTGATCAATTCATCTATCTATCCACCCAACCACCACCCCAAAGTTTCATCCCATACTGGTGGAATCAGTTGCTCCTTCAAGGAAGGCTAGATAACCAGTTTAAAGTAGGTGCTAACTGTTAAACTGGTGAATGGGTGGGAAGCTCATTTTCGATAAGACCTGGAATAGCTAGATAATTGCTGGTAACTTAAGTGACTACACGGACAATAAAGCCATTATATGTGCATTGGCTTGACTCAGATCCTAGAAAAACTTTAGAGCAGAAAATAGAGAACTTGATTAAAAATAACTAGAGTGGAGTAAGGAGATTTTTTTGGCATCAGCAAGGTCTCTAAAAGAACACTACCTCTGCTTCTAATGAAAAATTAGAAAACTGAACAGAAGACCCTTGTGGGTAACTGAAGACCTGTGAGAAAAGTAATTTATACTTAGTAATTCTATGACCTCAACTTGTTCACCTGAGCTGGGAGAATATTAGGAGGCTACTTGCTCATTCAAGAACCTCTCAGGAGGAGAAGAAAAGAAAACAAAGGCATTTTCCACAGTGAAAAGGAAGGTTTAGGAGGATTCAGTTCCTAGAAATTGAAATAAGACAAATTTAGAGTAACAAATTACCAGGCATTTTATCACTTTGTTTAATTAAGAATTAAGCAGTGAAGTCCAGTCAGGGTCTATGGCCTGTTATAGAAGAACTCAGACCATATGATCACAGTGGTTTGTTTGATTTTGTATGCTTGTAGCTTCATGCCAACTTTACTCTCCCCTAGATATTTAGCAGCACATTTTTTATCCAGTCCTATCATAGGGGCTTCTGGGTACTTTCTCAAGAGCGTTTCTAAAGCATCAGTTCAACAGTCGCTTCTAAATCCACTGTAAACACAGTAACAAGCACAAGAGCTCTGTTACAGGCAGAACCCATGAAACAATTTACAGGAATCACATCATTCATAATGAGCCCTACAAATAGGCATAAAAGTTAGTGGTTCCCTATGTGTTTTCCACTTGGGCAGAACAACACCCCCTATCATTCAGAACTGCTTCTTTTGACATTAGTTGTGTCTAGTTATTTCTGATATTACAATCTGGTTTTAGTTTTAAAATTCACTTCACCCTGAATTGTGGTATCTAACATCTGAATAAAAAGTGAGACAAGGACCCAACACTTTGCTTTATATGCACCATCACAATGGATAGTTTTTAAGAGGATGTAGTTTTGTCTGGATTTTGGTTTGGTTTTTTTTTTTTTTTTTAATCTGTGTTGGCTATGAATATGAGAAGTGGCATAGCAGTCTGTCTGACAGACATATGTATAACTCATTCCTAAATATCTCTGACTTTGGAGACTGAATAATTATCTCCGGGCGAGCTATTCCGGTGCTTCCTTATCCTGAACATTAGAAAGGTTTTCCTTATGTCTCATCTCAAACTTTTGTTCTGTAATTCGAACATTTGCTGTTGTCCTGTCCATCTTAAACAAAGAATGCAGAATCTGAGCAGACAGGGATGGCTCCAAATGATCAATAGAAGGGAGGAGAGCAAGCAGCGTAACTTATATTGAGTTATATAAACAGTGATGGACAAGTTTTTCTTCTAATAAGACTCTTCCTTTTTAGTGCAAACATAATTGATCTCTGAACTCCACTAAATCTTGGATTCTAGCTGCCACAGAGTGATTCTCACCCTTTTCACCATCCTGAAACTTGAGCTATGATGGCACAGCGGACTCAGATGAAGGTCCTCAAGATGGAAATGCATTTTCTTCCTTTTCAGCCCAACCAGGCTGAAGTGGTTTTAGTCTAAACTGTGAGATATATGGCTTAATTACAGGGATTTCAATAGAGGACTGTAGCTGCAGAGAGAATAATAAGCACAAGTTGGTTTGAGAGTTTGTTGTGCTATCCCCTCCCTTACACACACACACGGAGTTAAAAATGACTGCATTTATATATATCTACAAAAATAATACATACAGCATCTGTAAATCAGGGATTTTAAATATACACAAGCCAAATTATGCCTGTCATTGCATATTTCTGCACATGGCAAATCTTTTTAGATTGGCTGTGTGCCTTGTTTGTCTTAACTGCTCTGTAGTCATCAAGAGTCCCCAAGCAGTCTGAGGTCATAAGAAGTGTTGATGCAGTCCAGACGACTTTTACAACTGCATCTGTGTGTATGGTTATCAGACACAGATAAAGGAAAGGGTCAACTTTCTATCTGATCAAATTATGACTACTCTTAACAGGAAGAGACTGTAGAGGCTGCTATCAGTTTCATATTGATACTTTTGTTATATATATGCATTATATGAGATAATCGAAAGTATGAAAGCTGTAAAGCCTCCTGCTTCAGTTACTGAAATGTGTGTTGTCCCAAACTTTGAGAACACCACCCATCCAGAATTTTGGCACTGGAGTCCTCCAGGATTTGAGGACTGGCTTCCCCAGAACTCAGTTGCTGCAGTCCTCCAGTATTTGAGGACTTGAAGGATGACTGTTATGTTATTCTTTATTTGATGAAGGAACAGGTAACATTAGACACAGTAAAGAGTAAAGCTCAAAGTCAATACAACTGAGTTTACTATGCCTCAGGTACTTTAAGAACTGCCTTCCTTTTTCAAAGTAAAGAGGGAACATTAAAACATTTTCCACTGTAGCACATTTTACTTTTATTGAAAATAAAATAAAACAGTTTGATGCGATCAAGGAAATGAGGGAATGGCATATGTTAGTAAGATGCTTTTAAAACTGTGCAGTCAGATGTAATAAAAGTGTATTAGTATGCAGGCATCCTTAAAAAAATTCAAGAATATTTGACTCCTAAAGCATTGTTTCTAGGCATAGAACAAAATCCTTTTACCTGATAACTTTCAGGTTTATCACAAGTGTAAATAAAATGTTCTCACATTTGTCATGAACATGTATGAGGGAATGGAGGCCTGCACCACTTTCTGCATTAAGTCATGTCACGTGGAATATAAAGAAATAGGACAGTATCATTGGAGAGATTGCTAGGTTACATGTCATCTCAAGCAATGACATTGTCTAAAAATTTTATTATTCTTTGTTGGTATCCATTCTAATTTAAATGCATTATTGCTCCACATGGGTGACCAAAATTGGACACAATAAACTAAATGAAGACCAGTATCTGCATATAATAGTGAATGCTTTCATATTTCTGTTACAAATATTTCTCTTGATATAACCTATAATTGAATTTGCTCTTTTCACAGCTGCATCACATTGTCACTCTGGGTCATGCTGTGATCAATACATCCAGTTCTTCCCCTTCTATCATTTGAAATCCAGAAGCTATTAACTTCAGAATTTTTTTTTTCTCTATAGCTTAAGTGTTTGAACTTGGCCTCTGCACTGTTGCATATCATCCAGTTTCACTGCTTCATTCCTCAGGATTATCCAGCTGGAGATGATGAGGACAAGGTAGGGAAACAATGAAAAAGTATCAAAGCATAAAATAACTAAATGCATGAAAGGCAAGACAAATTTGTCTAAAGGAAACTCTGTGTCAAAAGCAACAGGGCACGGTGGATCACTGAAAATTAAAGAAAACAAAAGGTAGAACCAAAAAATAGAAATAAAAGTAGGGGAGCAAGAAGGGTAGACTGAGTTTAATAAGTTTAAAAAAATGTTAAAGTTAATATTTCACAGAAACTTAACATACTGCATCAAACACTACAGAAGTCTCTGGTGCAGTTGTCTCTGTACAACACACACAACTCATTTTAGTAAACTGATTGTGGTTTTGGTATAGAGAAGCTAGAGAAAAGACAGTGTCCCTTGTGCTAGGTCCCTGTAAAGTCCATAGATAAGACTGGAATTAAAAATAAAAGGAATGAGAACGAATTGAGAGAAGCCCTCCAATGCCAGTTTACACTTTGACTTTGGTCAATAGTATTTTATAGCCTTGTTTTTAATTTAAAGGAGGAAAGAAGAAATTTGGATGTAACACACTGTCATCCAATAAAAATTTTAATCCTAGAAATTAATGTAATTTTTTTGTTTAAAAACAAGTTTAGATTGCACCATTTTATACAGGTCAATAATGATTTAAACCCATTTTATAAAAAAGGGAAGCTGAGTTCTTGGAACTACCTGGCCACAGCAGGAAGGGACATGGTGTCCCATCATCTCACCACCCTCCATGCGAGGGTCTCAAGCAGGCAGCAGGAACAGGTGCTTGTCCAGCAGCAGTTTGGGCAGGTTGATGAAATCCCTGAGGGAAAGGTGTGTGACCACTGAGCTCCACTTGCGGTTCTGGTTCCAGGTTAATTTCTGGAAAGCTTAAGGGAAAACACATAGGCTGGAGGAGAAACTTAGCTGATAGCACAAAGTAGAGTTGTTAGAGAACTATAAAAATAGTTTCAACTGTTACCCTTAAAATAAAAAAGACTTGGACTTCAATTTGCTTGAAGTCTGAAACGGTTGCTTTTCAGCTACAGACAAGTCCATCTTCATACATAGCACATAGATCATTTTTTAACAAAACAGGTTATATTTAGACCCAAGCACACCTTTACGTTTTTCTAAACAAGGCAAAATGCAAATGGAGAACATGAAGTAATGAATGAAGTGTCAGACTGAAACAGTCTCTCGAAACATGCAACCTGTTTTCCACAGTCAATTTTTTAAGAGCAAATCAGAAAAGTTAAGTTAGAATGGTTAGCTATCCAGAAAAGAAGTACACAAATGTGATAATTAAATAGTGGTATTTCCCCTGGCCCTTGACTAACATAAAATAGATATTGGGGGGGGGGGGGGGGAGGGGAATCAGGAATCACTGACTCTTATAAATATGTAAGCATGTTCAGAAGAAATGCAATAGCTATTATGGTTTGTGTAAAATGCACTTGTGCAATTATTTTTACAGTTATATATGAGGGATCCACATAAATGTAAATCTGAATTCCTGTTTCAATGTCAAAACTCATTGGTAAGTGGAATTAACGTTGCTCTCATGGATTCCAGAACAGCTGAGTTTGCAGAACTCAAATGCTGTGGTAATTATAAATGCAAGTGGTTTGAACTAGTGAGAAACAAACCCTGCAGAGACATGCCCATGCAAGGAGCTGCAAACAGCAGGGCTGGAAGCAGTCAAGAAATTTATCTCCAAGCATGTAGTGGTATTTATTATACTACATCTAGTTGTACTGAAAAAAAAGAAGAAAACTTGGAGTATTTTGAGGATTTCCTATTATGATCAGTAGCAGATGGAGATATACAGGATATTTCCCACAGGAAAAAGCCTTTTACATTGATCCTGCACTTAAGGTCAAAGGAAGGGGATGGATGTGCGCATGAGGAGACCCGCTGTACTCCATTTCATCTTTGTTGTGGGTAGTGAGGCCATAAAAGTACTTTAGCTATGATGATTATTGGTAGTTAGGTGGTTAGGTTATAGTTATGATTAAGTGAAAGCAGCACATTCAGTGTCATATGTAGGGGGACTGTGGATGAGGAGCACACACTGGAGTTCAACAGCTGACCAGCGTGAATCACAGCACTTAACTCTCAGTGCAAACACCCTGGAGACACTGCTTGAGTCCATGCAAGACTGCTATGGATGGCACGGTGACAGTGGTGCTACTCTGCAGGGCACACTGCTGGCACCGCCGTGTTGTACCACCCAGGAGGATACAGCCACCGGGTCTCAGCCACAGGGAGTGCCCTGGGCAACCCCTTGAGCCTCGCATCTCTGCAGGTCACCGGGGGAGGCTCTGCAGGAGGGGTCTAGCAAACTCAGTGTCCTCCAGGACAAGGCTGAACCCAGTGTCTGCATCAAGAGGAAGTGGTGGGAGAAAGTCACCAAAGACGACCTACTGGAGATGGAGGCCCCTATCTGCCAAACTCCAAAGATTTCTTGCTTGCTAGGGGCTAAGATTTGAGAAGTTGCAGAGAGACTGCCAAGGTTCCTCTGGATCCCCATGCTATTACCCATTGCTGCCCAACCACACAGCCAACAACAACACAGCCAAGGGAGGCTTTGAGCATACCCAGAGCGACTCAAATGGAGCAGGGATAAGTAAAAAGATGGAGTACTTGATGTCTTCTCCAGTCTGGTCAGGTCTGCTTTTAGCCTGAGCCTAGAGGCAGAGCCTCTGGGAACACAGCATTACCCACTGCAGACAAAGATACAGTACAGAGGGCACTTAATCAGCTAGACATAGAAAAGTCCCTGGGGCCAAGCAGGGTGCATCCCAGCATGCTGAAGATGCTGGTTGATGTTACTGCCAGGCTCCTCACTTTGAAAGGTCATGGCAGCTGGGGGAGGCTTCTCATGCCTGGAAAAAGGAAATATCGCATCCATCTTCAAAAAAGGCAAGAAGGGAATCCATGGAACTGCAGGTCAGCTGGGCCGACCTTGATCCCTGGGAAGGTGGTAGAGCAAATATTCCTTGAAGCTATTTCCAGCCACAGGAAAGACAAAAAGGAATTGTGAACAGCAAACATGGGTAGACCAAAGTCATATCACACCTGGCCTGCCTGATTGCCTTCTGTGCTGAGGTGACTGGAGATGCAAACAACTGAATGCATGCATAAATGGAAAAGAGAACATATTGCTCAGTGTACACTCTGAATTCAAAAAGGCCTCTGACAAGGTCTCCCATAGTTTCCTTATAGCCAAACTGGTGAGATACAGAATGGATTAGTGGGCCCTAAGGGAGGTGGAAAACTGGCTGGTGTACAGTTTTAAAGGGTAGCGATCACTGGTATGAAGTTCAGCTGTTGGCCAGTTACTAATGGAGTCCATCAAGGGTCAAAACTGGGGCCAGTACTATTTAGCATCTTTATCACTGATCTAGTTGATGGAATGGCGTGCACTGGCAGCAAGTTTACTTATAACTTACTTATTACAAATTGGTAGGAGTGGCTGATAGGCTGAAGGAGCTAATCAAATTAAAGGTTTTGTGAATTCTGCCCATGGAGATATTCAGGCCTTGACTGAATGAGACCCCAGGTCAATCTGATCTAATTTGGCACTGGTTTGAGCAGGAGTTAGGACTACAGATCTCCATATGTCCCTTACTGCCTAAATTACTGTACAGTTCAATAGCAAATGACTAGTCAAAGTTGATTTAAGGAATACAGTTCCACAGCACCACAGAGATTACAAAAGTATCTCATGTAATAAAGACAGAGGGATGCATGGTTGATTTCTCTAATAGCTCAGCCAGAAAGAAAGAGGAGAAAATTTAGTACTGCAGGATAATATTGCCACAAGGACCACAAATATTTAGGGACAAAGAATAAATTCAAGCAGAAAATTAAAAGGAAATTTAATTTCTATATGGAAAGTAAGGAGGGAGATATGGAAGGGCTTTACAATTGGAGTAACAGAGGTACACCTGGTCTTGCACCTACAAAGAGACAAACGTGCTGATTATGGGGATAACAGTGTATTGGACTCAGAAATTCAAGAAGTTCCACTCAGTTTTTCTCCTTCCAGTCTCAAGAGCTAGAGGGTTAATCATAGAATCATAGAATGGTTTGGATTGGAAGGGACTTTAAAGATCATCAAGTCTCAGCCCTGCAGCCATGGGCAGGGCCCCCTTCCCCCAGCCCAGGGTGTTCCCAGCCGCGTCCAACCTGGCCTTGAACCCTTCCAGGGAGGGGGCAGCCACAGCTGCTCTGGGCACCCTGGGCCAGCGCCTCACCCCCTGCACAGGGAAGGATTTCTGCCTTAGATCTCATCTAAATCTGCCCTTTTTCAGTGCAAAACCATCCCCCCTCGTCCCACCCCCACCCCCCTGACCCAGAGTCCCTCCCCACCTCTCCTGCCCCCCCCTCTAAGCCCTGGGAGGCCGCTCGAAGGTCTCCCCAGAGCCTTCTCTTCTCCAGGCTGAACCCCCCCAACTCTCTCAGCCCGGCCCCCCAGGGGAGCTGCTCCAGCCCCCCCAGCATCTCCATGGCCTCCTCTGGCCCCGCTCGAGCAGCTCCGGGTCCTTCTGCTGTTGGGGGCCCCCGAGCTGGCCCCAGCACTGCAGGGGGGTCTCCCCAGAGCGGAGCAGAGGGGGAGAATCCCCTCCCTGGCCCTGCTGCCCCCCCTGCTCTGGCTGCAGCCCAGGGCACGGGTGGGTTCTGGGCTGCCAGCGCACGGGGCTGGCTCACGGGCAGTTTTCCCCCCCCCACCCCCCCCCAGTCCCTCTCCTTGGGGCTGCTCTCCAGCCACTCTTCGCCCAGCCTGGATTTGTGCCTGGGATAGCACCGGCCCATGGGCAGGACCTTGCACTTGGCCTTGTTGAACTTCATGATCTTTGCATGGGCCCATCTCTCAAGCAGTCACACCAAATGATTAGAACATCAAAAAATTCAGACTACAAAAAACTAAAATGAAAAAATTTGCAATACCCTTCTTTCACAGCTAAAATAATGCCAAACTTGTGCCAATTGTTCTAAGCATTTTTTTTTTCTATCAGATCATC